TTGCAAAACAGAAATGGATTGAATTAATGGAATTAAATTTGCACGCCATAACAGCAATTATCACAACTTTACTGAGAGGTTTGTATGTGGTCCTGTGGTGGTAGGTAAAAAACAAAGTTAAACATCAGTGCCTTGAATATAATAATAGCAAATATATTTGAAAACTAGAGACTATATACATGCCTTAATTTATTACCTACAGTTCTAACAGTGAGACAGAAAAAACATGTTTATCCTTAATTAAATATTAAAAAAGTAAACAAAAAATAACGATATGAAGAGTGAGGAAGAAGTAACTACATACCTATAGAGCATTCGCACCTTAGTATGCAGTATGGGGTCTTATGGACTATATCCCTCCTTTACTAATTTGCGTCATTCTTCAATAACGCTATCCTTATTCCTTACCGTAATGATGCCAAACTTACATATGATTGAATTTAAGCTTTAAAACAAAATATAACGTCAAATCTTCTTGTATTGTCATTACGTGTGTGGTTCGTTTTTGTCTTTCGTATTTAACACATTTTATTGTCTCATTGCTTTAAAAATCCTTCTTTTAAGAACGCCTCCATCTCGTACTTTATATACAAGGTAACTTTGAGTGTTCTTGTAGAACCGTTATTTGATTTCATCTTTTTAGAATATCCCATTAAATGGAAGCCGAAGCTGAAGCAGGATCTGCTAATGTGAAACGCCATAAAGGAGAGTGTTTTAGCCGGAAGGAGAAACACCTCATTATCAACGTGCTGAACTATTTCTCGGGAACGATGAACGTTACTGCAGCTGTGACAGAAGCAAGTAAAGCTTTATGTTGTTCTGAACGGAGCATCTATGCCATTAAAAAGGAAGACGGAAACGAAGGTGTATCAAGCCCGAAAAAACGCAAGCAAAGAAAAGGGAAACAAAGCAATGATCGTCTTCATGTGTATGATGAAAATGTGCAATCAGTTATTCGACGTAAAGTGCATAACTTCTTCATTACAAATATTCCACCAACTATGAACAGCATCTTAGCTTCCGTAAATGACCCAACTTTAAACGCACCACATTATTCAATCTCTTGAAAGATATGGGTTTTGAATTTAAGAAGGTTGGCCGCAAAAGTATCCTTATTGAACGGGATGATATTATACGATGGAGACATAAATACCTACGTCGCATCAGGAAGTTGAGAGAAGAAGGTGCTTAATCTTTTTATTATATTTAATTGCAAGTTACATAATATTTATATTTTAGGTAAAAATATTGTGTATACGGATGAGTCATGGGTTAACATTGGTCATTCGGTGAGCAGGGCGTGGCATGACACCACCGTTGAAAGCAATCGTCAGGCATTCAGTACAGGTTTAAAATCACCCACTGGTCTAGGGCCTCGCTTTGCGTTAGTACATGCTGGTGGTGATAATGGTTTTATTCCGGGCGCGGAACTGACTTTTCTCTGCAAAAAGAACACTGCTGATGCACACAACGAAATGGATGCAGGCACTTATGAAAAGTGGTTTTTTGAACAGCTTCTACCAAATGTGCCACCGAATTCAGTCATTGTTATTGACAATGCCTCGTACCACAGTAGAAAGTTGGAGAAGATACCAACAATGTCGTGGAGAAAAGAACACATTATAGATTGGCTTCGTGAGAAAAATGTACCGATTGAAGAAAATCCATTAAAACGGGACCTACTGGCTTCTGTTGCGCATGTTCGGCATCACTACGACAAAAATAAGCTTGATGTTATTGCACAAGAAAAAGGTTACGAGATTCTCCGTTTACCTCCATACCATTGTGAATGAAATCCCATTGAAATGGTGTGGGCTCAAGTTAAACATCATATCAAAATGAATAACAAAACATTTAAAATAAAGGACATGGAAGAATTAATAAAAATGGGTTATTCACAAGTTACGGTTCAAAATTGGCAACATTATGTCAATCACGTGAAAACTATCGAAGATGACATGTGGGCAGCAGATTATCTTCAAGATGATGTTGAAGAATTTATAATTCAAGTGTCGCAGTCATCTTCCGATGAATTTCAATTCGATTCCAGTGACTATAATATGTATACTGTACATTTGTAAATTTTTGGGGACTTAATAAATACAAGCTGTTCTCGGCCACATTTGACAAACAATTACAACTTGTTATTAATTTACCTTTTTGAGTTCTGAGGTTAGGTTAAAAAGTAATAAATAGTGTCTAAACTACCGTTTTACGGTGCAGTAATCGATCCTATAATAAGTTTGGCAAGCATGTACTGTTTCTCCATAAGCCCCATACTGCATACTAAGGTGCGAATGGTCTATATTATGTTAGCGATGAGACATAAACATTACCATTTCCTAATGTATGAATTATAGTTGGGAAAAGGGTACGGACATAACGAGGACCCTCGCACAGGAGCATTGCTCCGACCAAAGCATGGTACCTGGGACCTTCGCTCCGACCATAGCGCTTAGGTGGTCACATTGAGGCCTCGATCTCGACATTTGCATTTCAGTTTAAAGCGTTAAAATGAGCGTCATAAACATGGATGTGTTAATATCTTCGTCTGATGATGATGACGTTTTACCAGAGTCAAGTGCTAAAACGTGGTACATATATAAAAAATCCCAAAAAAGAAGGGTTCATCCTTTAAATAAGAAGCGTTTTCGGTATGGTGAATTCCATCATCTCTATAGAGATTTAAGAAATGATTCAGCTCGTTTTTTTGAATATATGAGAATGGCAATTAGTACATTCGATTATATTTTAAGTAAATTTGGAGATAGCTTAGAAAAATCATACCAAAATTGCCACTCTCAGCCAATAGGAACGGAAGAACAACTGATGCTAACCTTGAGGTAAGTACATATACAAAAAGTTTATTTATTAAAAAAATACAAAGTACACTTATCTAAAATTGAGTAGGATACATATTATTAAGGTAGGCATTCTGGTTCTGTTCTTCTCTAAGATCACTAAAAAACATTTCTGAAGGAATACTTAACGAGGAGTGCTTTGGATTTGATGATGAAGGTTGATTTTGTGGAACTAGTTCTGTTATGTGCGGTTCGTCCCTAGGTGGATTTGCTTCAATTGAATCATGTACTAGTTGAAGTACTTTAATACGAAATTGCATTTTTCTTTTTGGAGAAAACAGTCGTACGTGTGGCAAAATGCTTTTAAAAAAAGATTCGTCCTCATCTAGCTCTTTTCTTACTGAATTTAATTCAATCATTGCCTCTTTACTTTTTCTATTCTCTTCTCTCCTTTTTAGATATTCAATTTTCTCTCGTTCGGCTATAATTAAGGCTTCACCAATGTGGTCCTTTTTGCTAGACCTTTGGGTTTTAACTTTTTTCGTTACTGGTGTTGGCGAACTTCTTGGCGACGCTGGTGTAGATAAAGGAACTGACTCGGTGACGGACGATGGAGCTTGGGATGAACTTTCATCGCCAGTATCCTCTCCACTTTGATCTTCTTCGTTACTAAAATTGCCTTCCGTTTTCCTAGGCGCACAAGAATCTTTTAAAAATAATAAGGACTTGAAAAATGGCCAATCAGACGTTTCAGTGTCGTCCTCCACTCCATCACCAGACCTTTTAACGGGTTGCTCTGATAGCTTTTTTATGAACGTTTGTCGAAGCCTTTTCCACTGAGCTTTTGCGGATGTCGCTGAAAAGATAACATAACGGGGTTTTATTGTTTAATACATGAAATCTTATAAAAACTAAAAAATATGTTCCTAACCTTCTAACACCTTACATCTTTTTTAGATTTTTTTCCACCGGATTGTCCTTCAGAAGTTTAGCCTTTTCATTCCGAATGGGGAAAAGTACGGTTAGAAAAATTGTAATAGAAGTTACACAACGTTTATGGGACGTCCTTTATGAGAAACATATGCCCGTTCCCTCGCAAGAGAATTTTAAAAACATCGCTAACGATTTTTACAATATTTGGAATTTCCCAAATTGTTTAGGAGCTCTAGATGGGAAACACATCCGTTTACGATGCCCTAGAGACTCTGGTTCAATGTTTTTTAATTACAAGGGATATTTTTCAATTGTCCTTCAAGCATTAGTAGACGCAAATTATAGATTTATCAACATTGACGTTGGAGGTTACGGAAAGCAAAGCGATGGCGGTACATTTAAGGCTTCTCTATTATACAAAAAAATGGTACAAGGCACTCTGAATATTCCAAAAAGCAGTAAACTTCCTAATTCGAATTTAAAACTGCCGTATGTTATAATCGCTGATGAAGCTTACCCATTAATGAAAAATTTGCTTAAACCCTATAGCAAGCAAGATTTAAATCCTGGAAAAGAAATGTTTAATAAACGTCTATCTCGTGCAAGGCGTACGGTAGAATGTGCCTTTGGTATATTGCGAGCTAAATGGCAAATTTTGGATAAACCAATTCTGACTGATGTCAAGATAGCGGACAAAATTATAAAAGCAATCTGTATATTACATAATGTAATCATTGATATGGAGGGCATGGAACACAACCTACAGGAATTTCAAATTTACAACCATGTGCCTAACCAACGAAACATCGGTGGAAGGTTTAATGACGAAGCAAAAGCTGTACGAGATGGTTTTCAAACTTATTTTATGCAAAACAACTAATAAATATTAAGTAAAACAGCTATAATATAATTACTTACCTGGTACACCACACCCCTCTGCAACTTCCTTCCACAATTTATTTAAAATTACGCAATTGTGATGATATTTATTTTTTTTGTTCCATATAGCCTCTCGGACAAATACAAGCCCGATTAATTTTTCTTTATCTACCATTGCGTGAGCGATGGTCGACGGTCGAAAAAATACTAAGCTCAATTCCATGGTACCAGGGCCTGGCTCAGACCTATGAGCGGAGCGGGGGTCGAGGCGCCAATATGACCGCTAACATTTAAAAGCACTGAATGTTTTTTTTTGTGATCGATGCTATGGTGCTATGCTATGGTCGGAGCGATGGTCGGCGCTCCGTTATGTCCGCCCACTTAAGATCTCTTAACACGTTAACTGCCACCCATATATTGATATGAAATTAGTGGCTGAGCCATGGTTCAAAACTTAGCTGTACTATCTTGTATTTTATCCCTAAGTATTTCAAATGCTCTAAAAACACTAAATTAATTAACATTATGTGATAATTACATACGACGGCCGGACGTCGTTTGGCGTGAGAGAAATCAAAATTTTCTTAGGACGCCATACGACCGCCGGCCGTCGCGTTCCATAGTGCGTCATGTTATGAGATGATATAAGTAGGAGTAGGAGGAAGCTGTTGTGTCAGCACGCTTGCTGTAGACAGTCGTGTTAGAATACCGTGCAGTACCTACGTCCACGCGTTCTCATTGCAAAGAAAGCAAATTCGAAATGGATGAATTCAATTCGATTCCTGTGCGAAGTTTTTATGGAAACTCGTCAAGCGATGAAGATTTTGATAGCGATGATTCCCTAGCAGATCCAAATTATTCTGCAAATGAAAGTGACTTGGAGTCGAATGTGGATAATTCCTAGCTCCTGTACCAGAATGTGCTTGATATTGAAAACAATTCTGATAGTGATCAAGATAATGATGAGGATTCAATTGATCCTGCAGTTTTAGCGCCTACGGAGGCGTATAATCAGTGGAAGGTCATTAACCCTAGGTGCCCTGTACCCCATCAACAGTTTGATCAAACTTTTGATGAAGGAATTCAATTTGTTTCTTTACGTGAAAGTGAGTTGCCTATAAAATTTTTCGAATTGTTTATTACCGAGGATGTTATCGATAACATTGTGAATCAAACTAACATGTATGCTGCCCAAGTGTTAGTGCGCGTTCACAACGGCGCACCGCACATCGCACTGCACTTAGCATGGTATGGATATGTTCACGTTGGGGCACTGCAAAGAAGTTTGGAGCATCGCCTCGATAGTTTTGCTCGAAACGTCTCGCGTGTATCATGGCGAATTATTCCGAATCTTCTTCAGATGAAGAATTAATTCTTCTGAATAATCCATTGCACTTGTGGTACATTGAAAATGTGAGAAAAGGATACTGTTCATCCATAAAGCTATTATGATGATGTTTATGACGCTTATTCCATATACCCTCTCTTGAGAATACTAAAGTTATTAACTTTTCCTTGTCCATTCACATCGTGCAACCCATACGATGCTTATGCAAAATACTAAGCTCATTTAACATAGCATCCAACATTGGGCGTGCGATGTGCGATGCTTCGTTATGAACATGTGCATTTAAATGTATGCTTTTATTCGCCTCGACCCGGTCGATGCTATGTACGATGCTAAGTGCAGTGCGATGTGCGGTGCGCCGTTGTGAACGCCCACTAAGGGTGCGGCCACAACGGCGCACCGCACTAAGCCTATACCATAGTATCGCCTCTGCCTCGCACAGAGCATTGCCGACAAGTGTCCACGTTGGCGCACAGCGCACAGTACGTTTTCCGTAGTAATTTGTTTTTACTTTTAAACATGGCCTCATCATCGTCAGATGAGGATGATATTTTATTAGATTCTAACTTAACAAAGTGGTATTTAATTAAAAATAAACCAAGGATGTCAGTACACCCTCTAAATAAAAAACGAAGTTACTTTGGAGAATTCCATCACCTTTACAAGGATTTAAGAAAAGATGGTCGACGTTTTTTCGAGTACATGCGAATGAATATTAAGACATTTGATTATGTATTAAGTAAAATAGAGAATAAAGTAAACCTATCTTGGAAGAACTGTCATGCGCTCAACCAATAGCAGTTGAAGAAAGGTTAATGCTAACACTGCGGTAAGTTTTATAAAATGTTTTATTAGTAATAACATTGCTATTAGCAAAAACTTTAAACATTATATTTAACTTCATATTATTTATACATTTTTCCTTTCCACCTTTGTATTTCTATTGATCCCAATTTGCGTTATTGGTAGAAAAGGGTTGCTGGGACGAGATGTCACGTTGGTGATGATTATCGGGAATGATGTTTCGTTCGGAACTATCATGATAGGACTGAGTAGAAGTAGAGGTATGCCAAGTATGTCCAGAAATTTCGTTGTTCGATAACTGCATGTTCTGTTCAGAGTTTTCATGTAAATACCGAGGTTGCAGTGTCAATAAAGTAGGTGTCGTAGGTGATGGTCCAGAAGAAACATCAATGTTTAATAACTGAATCTTCTGTTGAGACTTTTCCTGAACACGACGAACAGGATTAGATCGTGGCAAAGTATGTGACGTAAATGAGGGTCCAGGAGGAACCTCATTGTTTAATAACTGAATGCTCCGTTGAGAATTTTCATAAACATGATGCTGAACAGGAGTGAAACTTTGCGAAGAATGTGGCCTATTGGATGGTCCAGGAATTTCTTCCTCCAGTAATTTCATAACTGCTATGCGAAACTTTATTTTTTGCCTAGGGTTGAATACTCTTACATACGGAAGTAAACTGTTAAAAAATGATTCGTCTTCATCCATTTCCTTTTTGAACCGATTTTCCTCCCTTTTTTTTAAGTAAGCAATTTTTTCTTGTTCTGCCTTTAATAAACCTTCCCCGATTGTATCAGTTATTTTTCCTACTTTTTGGGTTTTCATCTTTTTGGGTAATGCAGTAGCCGAAGGTGAAAGTGGAGTCGATGAGCGAGAAATTTGTGCCGAATGGGGTGTGGTAGGCTGTGATTCTACCTCGCTGGTAAATTCGTCTGTGCTGTTTGCTACGTGGTCCACCTCAGTTTCTTCAAAAGTCTCAGTTTCAATTGTATCAAAATTTCCTGTAGATTGCCTAGGTAAACATTGATCTTTTAAAAAAAGGAGTGACTGAAAATATGGCCAATCCGAATGTTCACTGTCATCGTCTTCAACTCCATCCCCTGAACGCTTCGATGGCATTTCTAGCAGTTTCTTTTTAAAAGTTTCCCTGAGTCGTTTCCAGTGTGATTTTGCAAGCGTAACTGAAAAGAGAAAAAAAAATATGTTATTAGTATTAACCTTCAGTTGTTCTGTTAAAATTTCTTTTATAAAAAATCTTGTAAAAATAGATACATTTCTACTTACAATTACTTGTAAAGAAAAACATATTCCCACGACAAGCTTTTATATCACATAAAATAAAAACACCCTGTACATATATATATATTTTTTTCTTTCAGATATTTCTCCACTGGTATTTCATTTAGAAGCTTAGCTTTCTCATTTCGAATGGGTAAAACTACAGTAGCAAATATTGTTTCGGAAATTTCAGAACACATTTGGATCTCTTTATATGAAATTCATGCCTGTTCCATCTCAAGAAGATTTTAGAAAAATAGCAATAGACTTCTACGAAATTTGGAACTTTCCCAACTGTGTTGGAGCGCTAGACGGTAAACACATCCGTATGCATTGCCCAAATAATTCTGGATCAATGTATTTTAATTATAAAGGTTTCTTTTCAATTGTACTTCAAGCACTTGTTGATGCAAACTACAAGTTTATCAATATTGACGTTGGCGGTTATGGCAAACAGAGCGATGGTGGTACATTTCAAGCTTCTGCTTTATATAAAAAATTGACCACACAAACCCTTAATTTGCCTGGAGATACAGCTTTTCCAAATTCCGATTTAATTATGCCACATGTAATAATAGCCGACGAAGCATACCCACTAATGAAGCATTTACTTAAACCATATAGAAAACAAGAATTAAATGCAGATAAGGAATATTTTAATAAACGTTTGTCCTGTGCGAGACGAACTGTGGAATGTGCCTTTGGAATTCTGAGATCAAAATGGCAAATTTTAGATAAACCTATATTGACCCATCCTGGACATGCAGATAACATTATTAAGGCAATTTGCATTTTACATAATGTAATTATTGATAAAGAAGGAATAGAACATAATTTGAAAGAAACTCAATTTGTCTTTCAAAACGAAAATAGACAAGCACCCGCAGGAAGACTTAATAATGAAGCAAAAGTAGTACGAGATAATTTTAAAGCTTATTTATGTAATAATCCGTAAAACTTAATATGTACCATCCTTTTTATAAATAAATAAACTTATATTTACCTGTTGTATTGCATTCCTCAGCCACCTCTTTCCACAACTTCGATAATAATATCGAATTATGATGATTTCTACTATTTTTGCTCCAGATCGCCTCCCTGGTAAACACACTGGTAATTAATTTATCCTTATCCATCCCGCTAATAATTTTTAAAACAAAACAAACGACCATGTGCGAGGCTCCGAAAAATACTAAGCTCAATTTACTGTGCGATGCACCTATGTACAAGGGCGATGCGAAGCGAGGGGCGGTGCGCCGGTATGGCCGCACGCATTGAATTCAATAGTTAAATTTGCTTAGCACACGGATGCTAAGGTACAATGCTAAGTGCGGTGCTTCGTTATGGCCGCCCACTTAGTGTCCAAAACAATCAGTAGACATAGTCGATTAAACCAATGGAAAAATACAGATTCAAACGAAATGAAGAAATTTTTTGGACTCCTCCTGTGGATGGGACTAGTTCGATATCCAAAACTGAGTGACTACTGGAGCACCAGAATTATATACAAAAACAATGTTGCTTCAAAAACAATGTCACGTAACAGATTTGAAATAATGCTGACTATGTGGCATTTTGCTAATAATGAAGAAGCTCATGGTGACCGCCTTCACAAAATAACTTCTTTGAAAAATAAACTTGAATCCTTATTCCAACACCATAAGATACCTGGAGAGTTCCTCTGTGTTGATGAGACCATGGTGCCATTTAGAGGACGACTGCCTTTTCGCCAATATATTCCTGGCAAACGGCATAAGTATGGTGTTAAATTATTTAAAATTTGCGATACTGCAGGATACACTTACGGCATTCAAGTTTATGAAGGGAAAAGTGACAAAATGTTGAAGAGTGACTCATTATCCACAAACGTAGTCCTCAAATTAGGCGAAAAATATTTAGGTCAAGGACGTATATTCATCACAGATAATTTTTATACATCTGTGGGATTAGCCAATCATTTATTAGATAAAAATACTCACTTAACCGGGACTCTAAGACGAAATCGAAGGGGCATACCAAAGGAAGTTGTAAACAAAAAGTTGAATAGAAACGAAATTACCGGAATGCATAATGGCAGAGGTATCTCAATAGTGAAGTGGAAAGATAAGCGCGACGTGCTTATGCTATCAACAAAGCATACAATAGAAATTACTGGTACAGGAAAACAAAATAGAAAAAAAGAAGATATTAGAAAACCGACAATAGTGCAAGATTATAACGCAGGGAAAGCAGGAATTGATTTATCGGATCAATTGTCAAGCTACTCGAGTGTGGTGCGAAAGTCTGTGAAATGGTATCACAAAGTGGCAATGGAACTCATTTTCGGTACATCTGTAATTAACGCTCGCATAATTTACAATACTATTTGCAAAAAGAAAATATCTGTTACTTCTTTCAAAGAATCATTGGTTGAAAGCTTACTCGAACTTACAGACAAACGTGAAAATGTGAACTTCACTACAACGAAGCACAAATTAGAGGTAATTGAAGAAGTAGACCACAGAAACCGAAAAATTAGAAAACGTTGCGGACCATGTTACGCAAAAAATCGCGAAGAAAAAGGAAGTCGTGAAGCAGATAAAGCATCAGTGACACCCAGAGTGACAACTTACTGCGGCCACTGCCCAGAAAAACCTGCAATGTGTTCAAATTGTTTTGTTAAAATTCATTTAGAAAACTAAAACAAACTTTAAAAGTGATTTTTTTATTATGTTTTGTTTGTTATTTTATTTTTAAGTTAATAAGAACAGTATCTTTGGTTGTTTATTATGAATAAAACTTATTTTTAACAATTGCTTATTTATTGTTACCCCTATCAAGCCGTTACGACAACCGGCGGTCGTACTATTGCAATTCGCTGTGAATCATTTCTGTGGGCCAACCAAAGTGTTTAGCATCGACAGTTGGGAAGCCAGCACATTTGAAACCTCATTTAGACTCCAAACATAATACGACGGCCCGGTCGTCGTATGGCAGTTAACGTGTTAAGCCAACCAAGAGATAGGCAGCTTTCGATTTAACTTCATATGCTTGAAAATGATTACTGTAACGCTGGTTCAGTAACTCTTGACAATAGAATGATATAGACTTTGATTCCAATTTATTGATTAATATATTTCGAATCATACAAAATTTAGGAGCTTCTATGGTACTTTCATAGAGTAACACGCTCTTATTACATTCATATCTAATTCCGTTTATTTCATACCAATCAACACAAAAAAAATCTTGTTTAACGATATTGATTGACGAACTTAAGGAGGGAAATTCATTGACTGGACCTTGTATTTCAATGTCGATAAGTCCCTTCTCTGACATAAATCGGTAGCAATTTTTAAGCTGCATTCTCATAGCTAAAGTCAACGGTACATTTTTAGTACACCTTGAATAGTGACATGTTGATTTAAAATCTCGGTGTTTTCCTTCAAATCTCATGCTAGATAAGAATATAGGAGGTCCCATCTTCGATATTACTCGACTGTAATGTAAGAGAAAATGGTGCTTAGGTTTCAGTGTTTTATTAAATAGCGATAAATATAGTGAATGATGTTCTTCCACCTTATGGTTCAATAACTCCATGGTTGCAGAGGACATTGTTGGACTACAGACGATGTGAGTTATTTCCAACAAATTTAAATAAAAATTCCAAATTGGGTTACCTTCGGGAACTAAATCGCCAACATAAAACCTATAATTTTCTACAAATGTTTTCATTTCTGAGGCCGAAAAAATTATACTTCCTTTATCTAAGTGCTGTTTTTTAACTACCGGAGGAATATTTTTCTCAAATCGTTCATAAGTATGATATTGTACTCTAGAGTTAAATAAATCTAGGGTGAAATATCCAGAAGCTATAAGATGAGATGTAATTAATGCCATGTCATACCTATGTACGCCTTCGTATAAGTCGTGCATAATATCACATGATAAGTTATTGTAAATGTGAAAGGTACCAAGTTGATTAAAAATACAATGTTCTTTTAAGCCCACATTTTGCAATAAGTGATTGTCGTAATCCTTAACATCTCGAACGGAATATTGGTTTTCAACAGTTTGTGTTTCAGCATCTGTTCGTATTGTTGTACAAAAACGACAATACGATGCTGCAGAGAAACTTTCCACGCAACCTAAGATGGTATGCAGTCCTAAATTATCACCAATTATACAAATAACTGAAAAGTATACATGATCAATGCCTGATTCAGTGCTTATAGTAATTCCATTTGCTTCAAGATTTTTAAGTTCATCAATTAAATTACCAAATGTCGATGTGTTTCCAAATTGGGCCCTATCTCCAGTATAAAAAATGGTAGACAAAAATATGTTTTCTAACCTTGCTAAATAAATTGGAGGAATTGTTGCAATTGTGTAATATAATGCTCCTATCTTGTAGTTTCCCGCTTTACTTCCAAGGGGATTTCCACTTTCAAAATCATCAAAATATAGCAATAGTGGAAATATTATTTTATTTTCCGTTTGAGACTTTAGTAAATTTTGGTATACACTGCCATGTATTAAGTTAGATAAAGTGTTAGTTTCTGTATAATTCTGAATCAAAGTCATTTGATAGTCTAGTATACATTTATAAACGTTAGGCAAATTTAAAAATCGCTTTAATGTTTCTTTTATTGGAACATAATAACCTATTTTATTTTTTAATGTTAATACTGTCTTACCATCAATTCTTTTGTCTTCTGTAGTGTTTCCTATTTTATATTCAATGGGTTTAATCAAATTGCCAGATTTTTCAAAAAATGAAAATCTTTTATACTCCGTGTCGACTGTATTAAAAATATTGCTTAGAATGTTCAGCATTTGACTCAAAACGGAAAATTCATTTGGAGGCACTACATTTGAACAAAAAGTTTCAAATAATTCTTTGAACAGTTCTACAGATATATATGTAGTAAACTTTGAACAGACAGAATGAGATCCTGTATAGCATTTCTTGGTAATGATAGATTGTCATATAATGCAGAGATAAATTTTTTGAACACTGCTAAGATTGCAGTTTGAAATTCTTCTACGTAATTTACCGAATATATTGTTTTATTGAAAATTTTGTTACTGTCTACTCTTTCACCTTCGGTATTTGGTTGGTCACTTTTAGGATTACAACTATCCAAATGATCTTCTTCTGCCAGTACAGAACCCTGAATAGAGAGAGAGGGAGAAGCGGGATCAAGAACAGTGGTCAAGTGTTCGTGAGCATTATTAAAATGTTTCTTCAGAGATAGTTTTGTATGAAACACACGATAACAATTTGTTTTTGGGCAAACAAAACGATTTGTTATGTTATGAAGATATTCAAGATGAAAGAAATATTTCTTAAAATTACTATAGTCTTTTCCACACCTTTCACACTTCATTTGGTAGTGTAAGTACTGCACGCTCTGTATGTAATATAGAAGCTCCTAAATGGAAATTTTATAAGATTTACTCTTTAATTGACAATACGGGTAATAGTTATATTAAACTTCTGGTATATCTAATACATTAACAACGCGTAGTTTGTTTACAATATCCAAGGTATATGGTGGCAAAGCGTCACAATCTAAAACAATATTATAAACGCACTGCTGTATAAGAGTGTAAATATATTGGGCCTGTACTGGATACTGCGCGTTAAAAACGTGGAAAAGCTTAAAAAGAGCGTCAAACGCCTTTTGTTCACTATTCATGTGTAAAAAAACCTTGTCCAAAATGATGTAAAAATTTTCTGGGCGATCAAATGAGGATCCTTCTATCAGCAAAAAAGGGTTAGGGTTAGGTTTCGAGATGCAGCCAGCTGCCGTCTTTCCTCTACAACTTTTGTTATGTCTCCAGGTATCTACAAATTAGAAATATTCAGAATAACATGTTGAAACCCATGATATAGTGAGTGCTACTAAAATGTAAGAATTGTGAAGTGGCGATCTTTAAAATTATTGCAGTTATTATGTAAGAATTATCGCATAAAATCTAAAAAGAATTCAAGATCTCTCAGTTCAGGCAAGTTTTTGACGGTAACATCGTTAGCGATCGTATGCTAATAAGTATACTAACCTTTGCCAGGACCATATTGCATCTATTACTTCAAGTGTTGAATATTTCCAGTGTTTGTGGGATTTCGTTACCATCCGCCCTTTCGGTGGAATCAGATGGGGCAATTTTAACAACTGCTTAAGGAAAATAATGTCTGAAAAATTTAAATAAGGTTAATGCTTTTGACATTTTGTGAGAAGCAGCGCGTCATTATACAGGGTCATTCACGAGGAAAGGTAAATATTAGTGGGCGATAGTATAGACAAATGCGAACAAAAAATGTCCTATTACCAGGTGTCTTATTTTTATTGGTTACTGAGATATGGGTCATTAGTTGATTTTCAAAAATTCCAGCATGACGGGGTCCCTGCTCATTCTAGTCGTCTTGTGACACAGCATTTAAATGTTACATTTCCCGGAAAATGGATCGGCAGAAATGGTCACGTTTCTTGGCCACCAAGGTCCCAGAATCTTACCCCTTTAGATTTTTGCCTGTGGGGATGGTTGAAAGGCGAAGTTTACAAAGGCAAAGTAAACACAAGAAACGAATTGATCGTGCTGCCCTCATAAAAGAACCTCAAGACGACCTCCGAAGAGCTACACGTAGTACAGTCAAAAGAATTAGAAAGTGCATTGAAGTCGAAGGTGGAATTTTTGAAACTTTAATGACCCATATTCTTTAAATTCAACGCGTTTTTTTTCTAAATATGTTAGATTGTTTACAATATCTTCTCCTTTCCTACACATATCCTATCGTGCCCAATACATTGTACAGGTACAATTTAAATAATACATGTAAAACTTCCGTTACTGACTGACAGACAACGCTCAGCCGAAAGTACTGGGCGTATAAAGTTGAAATTTGGCATGTAGGTTCCTTAGGAATTGTAGGGAAAGGATTTCCCAAAATTCCTACGAGAACGGGAAAAAACGGGATTTTACGTTTTATAGTCGAAACTGCGTGGAAGATGGAGACTTGACATTTATAACTTAGGTTTCTTTTAAGGCGTTAAGGTGTACTCCGGAAGCACGTCCTGAAATTCAGACGGAATCGGGCTACGAAAACGAGACAAAAGGGCTTTTACGTTTTACAGTCGAAACTGCGGAAAATAGACTTGATATTTAGAACGTAATTTTTTTTAAGGCGTTAAGACGTACCTACTCCGAAAGTACTTTCCGAAATTTTCACGGGAACAGGGCACGGTAACAGCAAAAAGGGATCAAGAGGCGTACAAAGTCGCGGGAAAATGCTAGTAGGTACTTCATATTGCTGGATGGTGTGCTAAGGAAGAGCACCAATATGGGCATGACATGTATACTACTAAAGGTACATTGAATGTTACTGAAAAGAGATACTCCATCCTCCATGGATCAAATTTCAGAATTATATACAAAAAAATTCGATAGAACAGAATATCGAACGATCCTCGAGTTCGGTTTGGGCTGTAACTATAGTAGTATTAATCAGCATAAAATTCTGCATATAACTTTGTATATTCCCTTACGGTTTACGAGATCTCTACAGTGAAAGTGAAGACATATGAATACGAATGAGAAATAACTATTTTATAGGGCTTATCACACAGTACGTACTATGAATGGTAATTGCTAGCGCTCTAAAAATATTGCTTTAGAACTTACCATCAGTATCTTCATTCGCTAATTCGATTAAATCCTCGTTGGGCCTGCCTTTTACTTGGTTAACCGTTTCAAAAAACGTTTTCCATTTCGTAAACAAATTAATTTCTTTTCCTGGAAAAGCCTTTTTGAAATCTTGGTTAATCTGAAAAAAAAAATTGTATTTGACATATGATGGGCCATATGCTCCAACAAAACTGGGGATTGCATGAGTACGTATTTGCCTAGAACAGAACTATATCTACTACAACTTACCAGTACATCTGCACGTTGATCTTGTAGTATGGTCCAGTTCTCAAGGAATTCATAAACATTTGAACATTTGTTTAAAGTGTCATGACGTAGGTTATATGTATTGTCCCATCTTATCAAAACTTCTGTCCAGGGCTCATTATTGTGTTTCATCCACTGCCAATCTTCATTATTGCTTAATTCTTGTTTAAATTTTAGTGATAACTGCGCGGCGTTACTCGTAGATGCTTCGTTGTCGGAAGTGTCTACGTGTTTTCGTTTTCTTCTTTTTGGTGTGGCTTCGTCGAAGTTGAAGACCATATTTTTAACTTTGTCAACAAGCTTCCCTCTAGCTGGAGTGGGTTTTCCTGTAAGGGACGCATTTTTCCTGACAGCTGGTACATAATATATTCCCATTGTTTCGGTCGGAAATAACGTTATTATTTTTGCCGTAATTTTGTTATATTCTTCGTGACGTAAGCGACTAAAATAAAGATTGGTAATGGACACATAGCTACATTCTACGGAAACTCACTTTCTTATTATATAAGTATATAAGTATTTTATGATTATATCAACAAGTCTCGTTCGTCTTTTGTTATCTAGCTGTTTTTGTGTTTGATAGTATGTTACCACACTGTTCCCCATGGGACTTGTTTGCAACAGAGTGTACAAATCAAAATCAGCAAAACTTTGCACTTCTGTAAAAAACGTGTTTAAGTCTAAAATTTGAATATCATCAGCGGTATTCGTGTCGGACATGTTAGTGTCTACATTTATAGTAACTGTAGAAGCATTAGCTGTGTTTTGATCATCTCCGTTTACAGGTTGGTTTTCTTTGTCCTAAGAAACAGTTGGATAGAAAACAATATAGATGCTCTTAGATAACCTAATACCTCATTTTTCATTTTCAATAACTTCCCCTCGATCAACTTTCTCATGCCCAGAGAATTGAGGATAAGTTCCTTCAAATCTCCAATGGTAAGGTCTTTTAGAACCTCAAAACATATATCTTGATCTACAAATATAGTTAAAACATGTTAAAAAAAGTCTGCGGGTAGCCGCATGACTTAAGCGCATTTTTGGTGTGTAGATCAGTGACATTACCGATTACAACAATATAAACACCCGGCGGGCACATAACTTTTAAGCACAAAGCTAACGCAAAAAACCGGAAATCTCTATATATTGTAGTTTTCGAGATCTCAAAGATTGCCAGCAGACACACAGCCAAAGTGAGACTATAAGCTGCACTTTTTCCAAAAATGCGCTAAAAACTCGGGTATTTGAAGACATAGAAACAAAAAAATGCGAAAGACGAAAATTACGAACTCGCGCCAGCCGCCAGAGTGAGATCACCAGCCGGACAAAGTGAGACTATAACCGCTTTTTCCAAAAATGCGCTAAAAACTATAAATTTGCAATTCCATGATAACAGTTCAAATTAATAAATTTATTTTAGGGAAAGAATAATGAAATGATAACGAATCTTTTTACTTACCCACAAATACTTTGGTTACTTCTTCCGTACATCCCCAAGACTTTAATATCGTTTGCACATCGTCATCCATGTTTTCAAAATAAACACTGGCAAGAAAGGCAAATGGAAATGAGAACTAACTGTGCGTAGTGGTTAAAATTTCGCCATATAAGCTTGAGATAAGTGTATCATGCTCTTTAAGGTTAATTCAAATACTTTCTTATTCATCATTCTTAAAATAAATATTGCACCACTTCTTTTCCTTTAAATAAGTGTACGCTAAATTCATACTGATATCTTACAATATTACCTGCAATACGACTCCCGTATTTAAAGCAAGTGCACAAGTATACTTAATTTAAATGATTTATATTCCGCTCAAATGTATGATTTAAAACTTAGTTAGTGTAACGTCAATTACTTGTTAACATTTGTTTTAAGAAATTATTCTTAAAAGAAGTATGATTTTCCTTTGTTTAAGATTACCAAATCAAATACATCTATCAGTTTAAACAGAGAACAGATTTTTATGTGTGTGGTATGTAAATAAATATTTTGGTTTATTTGGTGGTTTCGAGGGGGAAACCACTCTTTCAATTTGGTGTACATGAATTTTTCATTCCAGTTTCATTCCATTTTCAATCTTTCAATATTATCATTATCAGTTTCATTACTTTCAATCTGTTCATTCTATTAATTCTCTTCATTTATTTTTCATTTCCTCATTTTTTCTTATTACGGTTATAAATATTTTTCATTAACGGTTTCATTATTTACAAAAACGAATATTGTTTCGATTTAAATCGCCATACGAAGTAGGTGTGAGGTGGTAATGCTGAATGCTGACGCACATCGAAGTCTGTACGTTATACTTTGCAGTTCTTTGCACATTGCTAACGTTAAACCAAGTATATTTTCGTCGATTTTAGTGGCCAGTGAATAGTGTAATGTGATACATCTATTTATAGAAAGGTAAGGAACAATATACTCTTTACTAAATGCCCTCGTAAATAGTTCTATAATAAAGTATTTCGGAATGAATCATTTCTTTCATACCGTGCACATTTGTTTATTAAATATTTCGTTGAATATAATACCTACGTTGAGATCACCGCTCAACGATTATGCTTTTTGGCGCAATGCATATTATGTTATTGTTATAACTTATCTAAAACCGACCTATGTGGATATCATTTTTAGTTATTTTTCAAAAGCAATGTTTTTAGCAAATATTTTGGAGAAAAATGTAGTTTATAGAGACCTCCGGTTTGTTTTATTAATATTATCGAGTTTTTAATGCGAAACGAACTATTTTGACTCTTCTGATTGCGCGCGCCAGAAAATTTCCTTACCTACGTACCTTTTTAACCTTTTAACATTTTTTTAATTAAATATTCGCTCGAATATTCGCCTTCTTAGTCCAAAGCTATCAAATTTTGCCACATTCTTGTGGAAAAAGTAATTGAAGTGGATTTTTAAGCCAATCATTGAGATTCATCAAATTGTTTTAAATCTAATTCAGTTTCTTATATTGCAGTGTTGTTGACAATCACGCGTTAGTTATGGAGTCGGATATAGATACCAGCCGAGATACCAGCATATGGCAAAACATTGAAAAAACAACCAATATCATTTTCCCTCCCTATCTTAAAAACCTAATGACTGCTTTCGGGTTTGATAACGAAATTTCGATATCTGCTTTTGCTGAGGACGATATTCCCAAGCTAGAAAACTTTGCTTTAACAGTGCTGCCTTTGATACTCCCGGAAAATTGTAGTAGTGAGGAGAAAAAAAAATATTTTGGAATATTTTACGCTAACATTAAAAATTTTCAAATTGTTGATGGACATAAAAAACTTCTTATTAAACTGATTAACTACTATACATCAAAAAACTCTGAAAAAAATTCTGTTCAAAAACCTAAGTCAAAACGTCAAAAGCAGACAATCTCAAAAATACTAGATACCCCAGATGCTCGCCCAGATGATATCCCCGAAGGTGGTGCAGATAATTCAAAATCGCAAACACCTTTATCTCTACCTTCCTCAAACGAGACAATAAATGAAAAAGAAGAAAAAACAAAAATTAGACAAATGTGTTTAAAATGGTTGGTATCATATAAAGAAAACTTACCTCCAAACAAGGACTCTATTAAAGAAATTATTTCTAGTCATTTGGATTCAAAGATTGATTATAATATCCGTGTATATACCACTCCTCAAAGTGCTGTTAATTGCGCTATAGCTTACCTGACGTGCAGCTTTTGTAAAGCCGATATAAAAATTGTGAATGCCATAAAGGAAAATAAGACTTACTGGACCTTGTCAAATTTTTTCAAGCATATTAGGAATCACTATGACAGCAAATCTAAGAAACAGCGATTCAATACTCTGCACCAATATTTCAACAAGTACAACGAATCGGAATCAGCTACTTCCGAGGCTACTTCTTTTAAACCTGGTACATCCGCTGAAGTCGAGGCTGAAGCGAGGGCTGAAGTTTACAACTATCAAAGATCAAAGCAAAAAGAAAATGTACAAGCAGACACTCTACCGGCAGATGCAAATGGCGATGGCGAAAGCGATGATGTTACCATTATTCTACAAGAGGTGGTTGAACAAGTTGAAGGAGTGGGAGAACCTCAACAGGATTTTCTGTAACCGGGGACACATCCGTTGATACGATTTGTGTTCCCCGGTCAAATATTTCTACCCAGTTGCCTACAATAAAAGATAACGTACAATCGAACATTAAGCCATCAGTTACATTTGGGAAATGGAAACAATTAAAATATCAAAGAGTTGAACGAAATCGGAGGAAGAGAGAGTCTTCTACCAATAATACCAGTATTACAGACTTCTTTCCGTTGCTTGATAAGATTAGTAGCATCCTATCCGAAGAAAATCCAAACATTTTGGCAGCTTGTGATAATATCTACCAGCAACTAAGTTATAAACAACCTAGCGAAAAAATGTCCTCAAATATACAATTAAAAAATGTTAGTAATTTGATGAAAATATTGTTAGAAAATGCATACAATAATCGGAAAAACTGCAATGAAAAACATCAAGGAAAAAGGTACAATACAACTGTGAAGCTATTTTCTACATATATTTATTTGATTGGGGGTAAGCTATTGTATGAAGTGCTTTCCAAAAATTTGGCCGGATCGCTACCATCTGTAACAACTGTTCATAGAGAATTGTACACTAACATCAGTCACGAAGAAGGGAAGTTATTAGTATTCCAATTGAAAGAATTTTTACTGAGAAATAAGTACCCTTGCAAGGTATGGGTATCGGAAGATGGGACAGCAATATCAGGAAAAATTGAATACAATGCACATCAAAATGTTTTGGTCGGGTTCACCTTGCCATTATGCGAAAAATCCGGCATTCCAAAAGGAATCTGGAAAGCAGATACTGCGCAAAATATATTTAATGCTTTTAAAAACGGTAGTATATCAAAATATGCATACATAATTACAGTTCAACCACTTGCATTTAATGCTCCCCCTTTTTGCTTGTGTGCCTTTAGTACTGATAATAGATTCACGAGTCAAGAAGTAGTCAATAGATGGAAACACATCACTGAAGTTTGTCTTGAAAACGGGATAGAAATATGCGGTTTTTCGTCGGATGGTGACACACGGTTATTAAAAGCAATGAAATTTAGAACTGAAATACCCAAAATTAATCTCAACTTTCCATGGTTCCAAACAAAATTAAACAGTACTGACCCTTTATATATTCAGGATACTGTTCATATAGGAACCAAGTTAAGAAACTGTTTTTTAAATAAAAAAATTAACCTTACTATTGGCAACTACATAGCATCAAAAGACCATCTGGCAACTTTAATAGAAACTGTATCAAAAGATCAACACCTCTTATGTGAAACCCATTTGTCTGGAACTGATAACATGAATTTTGAGTCGGTGGAGAAAATATCACATGCCAGAGTTCAAGAGTGTCTAGCAAAATATGTGGCAGAAAGCCAAGCAACAGTAGCCTTTTTAAAAGTTATCAGATACGTACTGGATTCATTTTTGGAAAAGTCTTTGAAGGTTTGCGATAGAATTTATTATATGTGGTATGCGGTTAACTTTTTGCGACTATGGAGACATTTTATCAGATCACATTCAGCACTAAATTTATCTACCAATTTCATAACCTTAAACGCATATTCTTGCATTGAACTAAATGCTCATGCTTTAATTCTGGCCTGTCAAAAATTTTACTCAGAACCACACCTTTTCCAACCATGGTTATGGAGTTCACAGCCGTGTGAAAAATTGTTTCGAGCTACACGATCTATGACTTCAACTTTTTCAACAGTTGTAAATTTCAGTATGTTAGGTATT